TGCCGGTATTAGCATCAGCCATGGTACCTACTAGTACTATGCAGGACCTCCATCAGCGATCAAGGGTGCTGCCAACCTCCATGGATTAATTAGGAAATTAAAGCATAATATTCGTACCCATTGATTCGAACCATTAGCTATTTGCCAGTTGCACGGTTGGTGAAATACACTTTCAAAAAGGGTGCTCCTACTTCCTACATGCACTACTAAATAATACATTGATCATTGAGCTCGAAAACGATGCCCCAAAAAACTGTTTGGCATCACAGAGAGATAAGCACAAGCGAATCCTCGGTAGGTGTGAACTTCAAGGACTTGAGCTGCGAGTCTTCTTGGCTGGCTTTAATGTCTGATCACTACATAATAAGCACTCAGAATGTTGGCATGCCAGACTTTGCTCCCTGTGGAATTTTAATTTAGTGGATAACACGATTTGGTTTGTTAAGACAGAGATAGAATTACACCAAAAAAATGAATTTTCATGGGCTTGCTGTGAATTAAAAAAAACACTTTGAACCCTAGCCCCCATAGGCGACTCGGGCGGTGGCACTGACTCACTCCTCCCTCGAGTTCGCTCCCTCTCTTGCCCGACATCGCCGTCGACCGGAGCCGTCTGGGCAAAGCTCCTCGCGGTGGCCGGCAGCAGGGCCCTCTTCCCCTCTGCTCATAGGTGGTTGATGTAAGGTGGTCTGGCGGGGCGGAAGCGCTGAGCTCGCACGGGGCTTGGCAACAAGCGGTCGTGGCATGTGCATGTGGCGGCGACACAACAATGCTGTGGGTGGCTGCACTCGGATCAGGTGTGGAGTTGCACTCGGAGACAGATGGCGGTGCCCCCACTTACATGCAGGCAGGCCTAGGCTCAGTGTGCAGCAGCAAGCTGGGGGTGATCCTCGTGGTGATGCTGAATCGAGCCCCGTCGTGCTTTGGTGTAGCGCTTCGGAGCCCCTGCATGCCGGCTCCTTCAGATGGCACTAGGCTCCCCGCCGGTGCGTGGTGGGGGTGTACTCTTGCCTCGTGGCATGCTATTCTTCGGCAGCCAGCGGGGATAGATCTAGGGTTATGTTGTGGCGGGCTTTGAGGGCTTGATAGGATTTAGCCCATGGAGGCCAGCTACTATAGCATTCCGCTTTCTAGGGCTGCCCTAACGACGATGCTGGCTGGCCCCAATGATTCATGCACCCAGCCAAGGTGAGGGTTGCACCCAACTGAGGTCCAACCCCTGTGTCCGGGTTCCTTGGCATGTGGATTGGCTACAGTGTTGTCCGATCATGGTTGTGTCTACGACATTCTCACCTGTGTGATGTATGTGTCTATGCCTGTGCTTCACTGGCTTGGTGTCGAACCCAAACCACCCGAGAGTTGTTTACAAGAATCACCTCTAAGGCCATGTTCTGTTCTAACTTTTATTTGCGGGGATGTGCTCTTCTAACTAGTGCATACAAGCAACCAACATAAATAAACTTAGACACATCGCCATCCAAAACCAAATGAATCCAAAACAGTAAAATCCATCACACACCATCAAAACAGAACAAATGAAGGCCGAAAACACTAATCCTATCAAAAACACTTGAAAGGAAGGCTAAACCCTCCAACGGTCCAACCTAGGTCGATGGTTGTTTAATATAGTGCTATGCTATTGTTGGCTCGTACTACCCACAAACTATGTGGACAAATTGATCACAAAGATGCCGACCTCCGTGCATGGAAGACCGTAGTATAAATAAATTAGTTATTATGCATTTGGCCCAGTGCCAATGAATAATTGAGGGTGTTAACATCATGGGCCACTGCACCGACGGTAGGTGATAATAGCAAGTGGGAACGTTGGGAATCGCAGACCAAGACTCAGTCTTGATGGTGGTTAACAAAGCATATTCGTACTAGACGGGCCAAATCCATTGGTGATTGATATAGCCAACCAACACAAAGCTGAGGTACATAGCAGAGTGAAAGAGAACAATCTTATTGCTTTTGTGGGCCTCCATCTCTCACAACATGCCACCTATATTGATTTGAGGATTGTACACATCCAAATAATACGATTCATGCACCCACCAATTTATACAAAATTTACTCATCTCATAGATGATTACAGGACGGGGGAAATGGCTTCTATCTACACGATATGTTATGACTTCAGCCCTCATCTTGACAGAAGTCTCCCTTCAAAATATACTCTCACCTCATAGATCTTTTTTTTTTTGCAGGTCTCACCTCATAGATCTGGAAATTGTTGTTTTTGTTTGGGATATATATCCACTCCCGCTTGTGTCACGGGTCTGATAATTCTCGTCTAAAATACCCAAATCTTCTCATAACTCTAAATTGTAGAGTTGAGGTTTGTTAGAGGAAGTATATGGATCATTAACTGATTGCGGTTAACTAAGCATATTGGCAGCATTACAGACAGGAAGATCCTTTGATCTAAGACATTGGCTTTACGTCTAGGACAGAGGCCCCATTATTTGTTAAGAAGCATATGATATTACAACCAGACAGATCCATCGATCCAAGCCATGTTAGCTTTTTGCCTGCTCCAGGATTGATTGAATAATCTCTTAATTAGGGTGTTCCCAATGCCCTGCTTTTACAGAAGAAATGACAAAATAAAGTCACCGCATCAAAGAGAACATTAAAACTAGTGACCGACGAATTATTATCAAGACATATGTGAGCTTCAAAGACTTGTGGCACGTTTCCTTTTGGTTTGAACATATGATGCACTGATCGCGGGAAACTAACCCTTTCATATTCTATCACGATTACAGAAACTTGTGCCTTTGATTGCCATCTTTGAGAGGGAGTTTGTGGTGGTCCTTGGTCTTCTTGAACAACTTCAAGACCTCCCGTGTAATACAGCTAATCATATACGTCTTTTGTAACAAAGATATTAAGAAAGATAAGAGACAGAGTTTGTACGAGTAGCCCTTGAAAAATGTATGCTCCAGAGAGCCATTAGCTGTTACCAGGCCAGCACATTAATTTAATTTACAGTGGATCGGGGAAGACTTGACCACATCTCACAGATCTGGCCAGCAGGTCTTGCAAGCTAGCCATCTCCCCCTTTAAGGTTGCCATCTTCCACAAGTCGATGCACAACAATCCCATCAAGCACTAGCATCATCCACAAGAAACATACAATCTTGAGAGGTACCAGGCTGCAGCCATGGCGGACCTGGTTGTTGGGTTGGCCAAGTCGGTGGTGGAGGGCGCGCTGACCAAGGCCCAGGCGGCTATCGGGGAGGAGGCCCAGCTCCGGGAGAGCGCGCAGCGCGACCTGGTGTTCATCACAGGCGAGTTTGAAATGATGCACTCATTTCTCAACGTCGCCACCGCGGAGCGCGTGGAGAACAAGGTGGTGATGACCTGGGTGCGGCAGGTCCGCGAGCTGGCCTACGATGTGGAGGACTGCATCGAGTTTGTTGTCCACCTCGACCCCAAGACTGGGTGGTGGTGGCGCATGGTCCCGTCTTGGTGCATAGGGCTGCCACCGCTTGACGAGGCCGTCAGCGAAATCGAGCAGCTCAAGGCAAGGGTGAACGATGTGAGTACCAGGAACTCGCGCTACAACCTCATCAGCGACTCTGGCTCCAAGGCAGCCGTCATGCAGCAACAGATGGCTGTGCCTGGCGCCTCCCTTGGTGCGCCAGCATTCAACATGCTCGCGGAGTCGAGGGACGCTGCGAGGAGGCAGCAAGGCTTGGGGGATCTCACCCAGTTGATCACCTACAAAGGCAACACTGACCCTCACCTTCAGGTAATCTCCGTCTGGGGAACAAGCGGCGATCTTGGGACGACTTCCATCATCAGGAAGGCATACAATGACCCAGAAATCAGCAAAAAAATTGCGTGCCGCGCCTGGGTCAAGCTGATGCATCCTTTCAACCCCCACGAGTTTGTGCGGCGCTTCATGGCTCAGGTCTATGCCACAAACGCTTGCGCCAAACAATTGGAGGGTACAGACGTGGGTGTTCATGTTCTGAACAAAATGGAGGCCACAAAAGAAGATCTATTCAAGCAGTTTCTGGAAGAAGTCAACACCAAGACTTACCTCGTGGTCTTGGAGAACCTGACTGAAATGGTAGACTGGGATGCTGTGAGGACGTTTCTTCCTGACAAGGAAAATGGCAGCTGGATCATCGTGTCCACCCAGCAATTTGACATCGCAACCTTGTGCATCGGAGACTCTTACCAACCACTGGAGCTGAAGCAGTTCTCCCCCGAGCACTCGGTTTGTGCCTTCTTCAAGGAGGTAATTAATTAAGCACCAAGCATCACCGATTACTTCCAATAAATCACGTTATACTTGTGAATTTGTTATTTTGCTCAGTAGGTTAATTTATTTTGACATGGCACTCTAAAGTGTTAATGTTTAAAATAATTGAATTAAACAAGTTTTTGTTTATAAAAAAGAAACATATTACTGTTTAGGCAATGAGAACGCCGTCTATTTTATTATATACTTAAAACGTTATAGGTCATAAAAGGACAAAATGATCTCCGGAAAATATAACGGAACCAAATATCTAGTCATTAAATTGGTTGACACACTTTTATTACTAGACTGCAACTGTCATAGCCTATATTCTATATCCTAGATACCTAAATAGTTCATCCCCACTATCTTACTTTTCTCAACATGCACACATGCCGCCTCATCATATATGCCACCTCGTCACCTACTAATTATTTGTCTTGACATGCATGAAAATGCTATTTACATTTCCTCAACATGCATGCATTCCAACTCACCACACATGCGACCTACTTAACATGTTCAACCAAGTTAGAAGGCCATTTTATTCTAGCAAGACTCCGCAGATAGCTTTTTTTCTTGAAGGATTTGTTAGCTAGTATAGGAAATTAGTACTTCAATTGATTTCCTATATGCACCTTGCCATGGTCCTTGCATGTTAACACTCCCCACCTGTAGGGTTCTGGATATTATGGAGATAAACAAGAGAAGCTAATGTTGTCTAAAGTGAGGCAAAGTTCACCCTTGCAAAAACTTTCCTCCGCGAATAAGGAAGTTATCAGTGACTGGATGAAAAATAATCCTCTTGCTGGACGCGAGTTGGAAATGAATGAACTCCGCAGTTATACAACTGGGGCACGTTTCAAAAGTTTCCCAGTTATATCTGTTTGGGGAATAGCTGGTGTTGGAAAATCAGCTCTTGTAGAAAACTTGTACTATGACAGAATGCTTCGTGGCCAGTTTGAAAAATACTGTTGGGTGGATATATCATATCCGTTCAATTTAAGGGATTTCTCCCGAAGCTTACTTTTGGATCATCATTCAGAAGAAGACCCAATTGAAGAATGTCATGAGCTTCTGAGACAACATAAGTATCTCATTGTTATTAATAATCTCCAGTCCAAAGAAGACTGGGACTTGATAAAGACTACCTTGGTAACTAGAACTGCTGAGAGTGTGATCATTGTCATTACAACAGAAGCAAGTGTAGCCACTAATTGCACAAATAATGAAGATCAAGTCTTTAATGTGAAAGGTCTAGAAGCAGTTGCCGCCATGGATCTCTTCAGGAAAGAGGTGTGTTTTCTTACAAGCTATATTATCCATAAAACATTGACCTTTGAGGTATCTATGGTACTTAGGTAGTTTGTTGCATGCATATTCTCACACAATTAACGATTCAACTGGTTAAGCTATGAGGGATGGTCGTACAGGCTATATCGAACTGGTTAGGGATGGCAGTCCGGTAATAGGGTTGGTGAATGGATCATGTAACAATATTATCAGCTAGTTTCGCCGTTTTAAGATCTTTGTATGAAATATTGAATGATTTAACTTTGCAATAATAAAATGGTTGTGTGCATCAACGGATGCAGAGCCAACAGGTTATCCCTCTATGAAAAAAGAAGTTCTCACAAAATTAACGTTTTATGCATGGTACATTATTTTTCATGTGTGTGTAACACATACTCCCTCCTTCCTAGAATAAGTGTTGATGATTTAGTACAACTTTAGAAAGAAGTTGTACTAAATCAAAGACACTTATTGTGGTACGGAGGGATTATTATCCAAACACACAACATTGAATATCTAAGCCTTTTAAATATACATATGAAAAGAAACCAAAACAAACGTGGGTGTTAAACTTTGACTGAAATCTCTAGTGTCCACTTGTAAAAAAAAAGTGTGACTATTTGTTAACTGCAAAATATCAGCTATGATTATCCTATTGCAAAAAATATATCTAGCTTTATTTTACAAATAGTCATATTACTTTCAAGTACATGTATTTTACTATATTCATATCTGCGATATTATAATGTATATATTTTCTAAACATAGAAAACATATTTGAAATAGCTTTGGAAGGTGCAAGATTTTATGCATAGGAAAGTAAGTAACAGTGAGCGATAATATCACTAGACTTAAACATGGTATTTAACATGCATTTCAGAATTTTGTTTCATATTTCTATGTTAATTTTTTATGAAATTACTATATTGTGAACATCCTTTTCTTCACAGATTTGATGCTATCATTTTCACCTAGCGAGTCTAATTGTTTCTCTGTATTGGTTGGAATAGTTAGGAATACTTTTGTGCATGTTATCTGAAACGACATATGTTTATTTAATTAGGGATACAAAAACATAAGAAGAATTTCTTGTTCATTAACTGAACATGTGGAATTCACGTTTGGGAGTGGGTGCATCAACCCTGCTCAAAAAGCTATAGCAAAGCTATAGCCGGCTATTTAAAACTATGGGCGCCAGTGGGGAAGGCCTTGTAACTAGTGGCAATTGTGGGTAATTTGCAGAAAATCTAGCGGTATTAGATTCCGATGGTTGAGTGGTATAGAGTATTTGGATCAGCCACAACCGTTATTGGATAACACAATATGTAGGGATGAATTATTTCATTTCGTATTGCAAAAAATTATTACATAGATGCATACATGTACACAGGAAGATTACTCGGTCTATATTCTGCAACCGGAAAATGTGAGTGTAATTGATGCTTACCATGTTGATTAACTTAACATAACTAATGCTAAATCTTTTGAACAACAGGTACTCAAGAAGAATCAATTATCTGCTTTAAATGGTTACACGAATGATGAGCTAGAAGAACTGATTATGAAGTGTGGAGGTCTTCCCAAAGTGATAGTTTCTATAGCTGCCTTATTGGCCACACAGACGGTAACATTGATGGATACTGTACGTTCGTTGAATAGCAAATTTATGCACACTCTGGAGACCAATCCAGAGCATGATAGTCTACGAGGGCTATTTGATTGGATGTATTCATACTTCCGTACTTGCCCAGATGAAATTAAGCCATGTATCTTCTATCTATCAATTTTTCCTCGAGGACACGGTATTCGGCGAAGGCGACTGGTAAGGAGGTGGATTGCAGAAGGTTACTCTAGAGATAGTGATGAAGAATCTGCGGTGGACAAAGGGGAGAACTTCTTCTCCAAGCTCCTTGATCTAAGCATAATCCAGCAGATGCCACAGTTAGTCACCACTGCATTCAGTGACACAAGGATAGTCATGTGCCAGGTCAATGGCTTCATCCGCGAGTACATCGTCTCACGAAGAATGGAAGAGAACCTTGTCTTTGAACTTGGGCCCAATTGTGTCCTGACCACCGAACGCAAAGGGCGTCACCTTATCATATTGAAGAATTGGGTCAGAGACATAATTGTATTTGAGAGCATTGACTTCTCACGGCTACGGTCGCTCACAGTGTTTGGAAAGTGGGAATCATTCTTCATCTCCAAAAGTATGAGGTTGCTTCGGGTTCTTGATCTGGAGGATTCATCGGGTTTAAAGGACGAAGATCTAATTGAGATGGTGAAGCGGCTACGTCGCCTCAAGTTTCTCTCCCTACGAGGATGTAGAGAGATTTTCCATCTGCCAAGTTCACTGGGTGATCTTAGGCAGCTCCAGACTCTGGATGTGAGACACACCTCCATAGTCAGACTGCCAAAGAGCATCGTGAAGTTAGAGAAGCTGCAGTATATCCGAGCTGGCACCACCGTCTCAGCATTGACACCACCTGCCCCATCCAGCAGCCTGCTAAAGTTCCACAGATGTCGTGGCCTTCTTGGTGTTCAGGTGCCTAAAGGGATTGGAAAACTGACAGCACTGCACACTCTAGGTGTTGTCAATGTCAGTGCTTCTGGGGGAAAAGCCATTGGGGAAGAGCTCAAGAAACTCACCCAATTGCGCAAACTTGGTGTGTCTGGCATCAATAAGCATAACAGCCAGGACTTCTTCTCTGCAATCTCAGGTCACGTGCATTTGGAATCCTTGTTAGTGCGGCTTGCCGAGGGAAATCAAGGTTCCTTGGATGGCATCTCACTGCCTTGGGAGAACCTACAGAGTCTTAAACTGCATGGGCTTAAAGACAAGTTACCTCTACTTGAGGGCCAACTTAGCAAGCTCAAGAAGTTGGATCTGGAGATGGACTCTTTAGAGAAGACCGACATTGAGTCCCTTGCCATGCTACCAAACTTGTGCATTCTACGCCTTCGTGTGAAGCAGCTTCCGGATAGCAGGCTCCATTTTTATGCCGAGATGTGCCGGGAGCAGCTGGACACCTTCAAAAAAGTGAAGATCCTTGATATTGGTTGCAGATCCAGCAATTTACAAGTATCCTTTGGATCAAAGTCGATGAAAAATCTTGAGCTGCTTGAGATTGACTACTCAAGTGGATCATGTCAGCTTGCCGGCCTGAATAATCTGTCGGAACTGAAGGAAGTCTTGCTCAAGGGTACAAATGATGAGCAATTCAGGATAGAGTTTGAGAGACATCTTGCCACTCACCCAAATAGTCCTGCAGTGAAGCTGAAGAAACTACCCGCATCAACTTGAAGAGTTCCATATTTTTTCAGCTATCACTAGTTAGCTGGATATCCAGCCTTTGCAATCCATCATTTCTCTGTGTACCTGTTTTCCACATTGTTTGTGTGCTTATTAGCAATAAACATGTATTTTTGTAAAAATATACTACCGATGCGCACTCTTTACAGGCAGTTGGATTTTCTGATGGTCTTTATTAAAAGTGAGTTGTGGACAGTGGTCAATTTGATGCTGGCAACAAGCCTGTTACGGTGTGCCAGCACAAACGAGTTCGTTGGACTACACCAGTAGAAAGATGTCTAAATTAATTACCTTCAGTTTTCCTTCCTTTCAAAGGATGCTAAGATTTGTTTAATACTTATTTCTCCTTGTGTTAAACACAAAACTGATCTCGTCCCGTCTTGTTGTTGTAGTTAGAAGAAGGGGGGCATTCTGCTCTTAGGTGTACACAGGGTTGCTCCTTGCTCCGTTAGTTGATTTAATCATTTTTATCCCGTGCACTACCGGAAGAATAGCCCTAGCTCAACTGCATTTCATTTTGCTTCAGTTTTCTGTCGGACACAAGCGTCAGGTCGAGCAGAGTATTAGTCCGTCAAGCACTCACATGCCCAGAGTATCAGATTGTTAGCAAGATTACCATGATTATGATTACACTAGAGTTGCCACTCAGATGGAAAGCGCAGGATGGGTTAATTTTATTCAAAAGTGCACGTATGTGGATGATCATGAGGAATACACCCCAACTTACAAATACTAAATGAGGACTGCTCCTGTTGATACAGGACCAGGATTTCATTTGTACTGACAATTTGATACTGAATGTTCCGAAGGGAAGAAAAATTCTAAATTGGTGATGATTCATTGGATGCTAGCTCTACGTATGTAAATATGCCCTAGCATCACATCTTATGACTATCATTGTAGGAAACCATCAACGGCATGTTCTAGTGCAGTATAACAGAGGGGGGGAATTGGACTGGCTGCTGAGCGCTGACCCAGGACCTACAGATGTGTCGAGTGAATCCAATCGCTAATTAATATAGTATCAACAATAGTTGGGGTGTTGAATGGCCGAAAATTTGTTAACTATTCCTGAGAAGAAGAAAAAAATCCCATTTACCTTGAAGCCTCAGCAAGTTAGCAATTCATCAAACACCTGGAGTGCATTGCCGAACTGAAAGAAAAAGTTGGATTCTGAGGAAGGGGAGAGGATCGAACCTTGGGATAAGAAAAGCAGAGGGTGCATACCATGCTGTGGGCCCGGCAGAAGAGCAGGGCACTTGGAGCTCGAACCCGTCGTTGTTCACTAGAGCTAGCGTCACCGGCTACAGGTCGCTCCGATCCTCCTCACCGTTGATTGCTCTTGGTTTGGCTTTACGCGTGGAGAGCAATGGGATGAAAGGGGCACGGCACAGGGAGGGAGGGAGGCAGCACCCGTTGTGCCAACGTGAGGCCCGGCGAGACGGAGAGGCAGAGGCGAGGCGAGGCGACGGAGTGGAGAAGCGGCGCGAGAGAAATGCGGATGAGATCGTGAGGATTGCCGAGGCCTGAGTTCGATGAAAATTTGCGCCGCGATTAAAATCAATGGCTAATAAAAATCGAAGCAAAAATCCGAAGGTCCATCATTTTTGCCAATTCGTCGAACAATTTTCTTTTAGGACGACGGCTGTGGATCATGCTCCTTCACGCGCCCCCGCTATCAGCCGCAGCCTCCGCCGTCACCCTGGCATCCTGTCGAAGAGTAACTCTAGCAGACCCCGCAAAAGGCCCCGACCCGCAAAAATAACCACCAAATGCAGGTTGGTGCAAAAAATCCCGCGCAAAAGGCCCCGACCCGCAAAAATAACCACCAAATGCAGGTTGGCGCAAAAAATCCCGCCCGAACAGACCCCACAAATGTGGCCGGCCCGCAAAAAAATTTGAGGAGCGCGGCAAAAACTTGACCCCAACCCGCGTATTCGCGGGTTTTCGCCTCGCCCCTGCGGTGCCCCGTATCGCAGTGAAGCATTTGGCGGGAGGGACATTTCAGCCCGCGCCCCTTTCCCCACCTCCCTCTGCCGCCGCCCGTCACAGGTTTCGCCCGTCCGCCGCCGCTGATTCCAGCCAAATTTGCGGGCGGAATTGCGCCGGCGGGGCCTTTTGCACCCTTCGCCACCGCTAGGCCGCACCGCCCCCGCGGATCCGGCAGAAGAGCCGCCCCTCGTCGCCGTCGCCATCCGGGATCGACCGCCCTCGAGACGCCCCTCATCACCGCTGGTTAGTGTTTTTTTGCTTCGTGTCGATGGTATTGAGCCTGGTTGGTTTATGGTTGGTTGACGCGGCGTGTGCTTCTCGTTCATGTAGATGGAATTGACCCGTGCGAGAAGTTTTTGCTCTTCGATTCGTCCGATTCGGACGTCTCGGATGTTGAGATGATGCTCTCAAATTTTCGGCAGCAAACATTAGTGATCGCTCTTGCCGTCAAGGAGCACGAAGACGAGAACCGAAACAGGCGACGAGGATCGACCGTCGGGCGTCTTTGCATCCCTCGGAATCGCCATCTCGGGAACGAGATGTTGATGCAAGACTATTTCGCGGAAAATCTAACGTATCCACCGCACCTTTTCTGGATAAGGTACCGAATGCGCCGATCCCTCTTTGTTAGAATTGTTCAAGCTTGCGAGGCCAATTGTTGGTATTTTACACAACGAAGAAATGCTACGGGCTTGAAGGGATTTAGCGCATATCAATAAAATCTCGGCAGCTATGCGGATGATTGCGTATGGCCTTCCAGCTGATTATGCCGATGAGTATCTTCGCATTGGTGAAGATACAACAATTGAGTCGGTGCGTATATTTGCCAAAGTCTTCGTCCGTGTCTTTGGTCCCGAATATCTTCGGGCACCGAACGAGGATGACACAAAGAAATTGATGGCATCTAATGAGAGGAGAGGTTGGCCTGGCATGCTAGGTAGCATTGATTGTATGCGTTGAAATGTATTGTGGCAAAGTCTCGTGATGCAACAATTGTGCTAGAGGCCAAAGCATTCGATGATTTATGGATTTGGCATTGCTTCTTTGGTATGCCGGGCACTCTCAATGATATCAATGTGTTGCAACAGACTCATTTGTTTGCCAGACTTGCTAGTGGTGATGCTCCTACTTGCAACTACACTATCAATGGGCATGAATACATAAAAGGGTACTATCTTGCAGATGGTATATACCCTCCTTGGTGCATATTTGTCAAGAGCATCAAAGAACCCAAAACTAAAAAACAATGTGAGTTCGCAAGAGTGCAAGAGGCACCCCGAAAAGATATTGAAAGAGCATTCGGGGTTTTGCAATCTAGGTTTGCCATTGTTCGTGGTCCTGCTCGTTTTTGGGACAAGCGGACCTTGAAGAACATCATGACATGTTGTGTTATTCTTCACAATATGATTCTCGAAGATGATAGAGGCATGAACTTTGAATTCTTCTACGACAATGTAGGCAGTCATGTCAAACTAGCTAGAGACCACTAGTAGAAAAATGGTCAAATGTGAAGCACATTAGTGCCGGTTTGATTTTGAGCCGGCACTAATGTGTCCATTAGTGTCGGTTCCAATGGCTAGGCGGGCGGAGATCATTAGTACCGGTTCGTGAGCAACATTTAGTACCGGTTCATGTCACGAACCGGTACTAATGAGGTTGCGTCAGGCTGTGGTCAGGCTGGGGCCCCACGCGCACCTTTAGTACCGGTTCGTGCCACGAACCGGTACTAGAGTTTCTTAGTAAGCTGTTTTTTAGTCCCACCTCGCGAAGAGAGAGGCACTAGGAGCGGTTTATAAGCCCTGAGTGCAGAGACGATGAAGGAGAGGCGCAATGCTCACCTACATGTTGCTTAGCTTTAAGCCTTGAGGAATAGTGTAGATTGCACGGAGCTATGTGTAGTGCAGTTTGCTCTATTCTGAAAGGTTTGAAGCTAATTAACAAGTATTGTGCCTCTTTTTTATATATTTTTCAAACTTATTTGAACTCCAGACTTTTTTGCGTTCCATACACACCATTCAAAGAGACGTCATCAATTTTCAATACTTTCTAACATCATTTGCTATTTTTCAGTCATTTACCGATTTGTTTAGAGAGCTAAATGACCATGAAATTAAAAATCACTACAAAATAAACTCTGAAAATGTTGGAACTTGGCATGGTATCATCATTTCACCCACATAGCATGTGCAAAAGAGTAGAGAGGGTGACGACAAAAACTGGACGCACTTCGTGTACAAACTGGACAATCTCTTTCGAAGTATCAGGGTTTCTGACGAAAACTCATCTGTTACACGGGCACTTCATTTTTTAAAACTTATTTGAATTCCAGACTTTTTTGCGTTCCGTACACACCATTCAAAGCGACGTCATCAATTTTCAATACTTTCTGACATCATTTGCTATTTTTCAGTCATTTACCGATTTCTTTAGAGAGTCAAATGACTGTGAAATTGAAAATCACTACAAAATTAACTCTGAAAATGTTGGAACTTGGCATGGTATCATTATTTCACCCACATAGCATGTGCAAAAGAGTATAGAGGGTTACGGCAAAAACTGGACGCACTTCGTGTACAAACTGGACAATCTCTTTCGAAGTATCAGGGTTTCTGACAAAAACACATCTGTTACACGGGCACTTCATTTTTTTCAAACTTATTTGAACTCCAGACTTTTTTTGCGTTCCGTACACACCATTCAAAGCAACGTCCTCAATTTTCAATACTTTTTGACATCATTTGCTATTTTTCAGTCATTTACCGATTTGTTTAGAGAGCTAAATGACCGTGAAATTAAAAATCACTACAAAATGAACTCTGAAAATGTTGGAACTTGGCATGGTATGATCATTTCACCCACATAGCATGTGCAAAAGAGTAGAGAGGGTGACGGCAAAAACTGGACGCACTTCGTGTACAAACTGGACAATCTCTTTCGAAGTATCAGGGTTTCTGACGAAAACTCATCTGTTACACGGGCACTTCATTTTTTTAAACTTA